GTTCCTGCTGGGTCGGGCGGGGGAGGGGGCGGACCAGGAGGAGAAGGAGGTGGAGGAGAGGGGGGAGGAGAGGAAGGGGGATGGGATTGAGGCACAGGAGAAGAAGGACGAGGGGGAGGGAGGGCACGGAGGAGAAGGTGGACGGACGAAGAGGAGGAGCAGGAGGAGAAGGAGGGGGACCTTCGTGGAGGCGGGGAGCTTGTGACCACAAAACAGATGGATCTGGTCTCTTCGTTTCTAAATTACCGTGCCTGGACTGCCAGGAATCCCACTGGCGAAGTTGGTGGAGCCCCATGGGATTGTCTCGGATGCCGTTTTTAGTGTGAAACCCCGAACGTTATCTGAAACAAAACCGTGGATTTCTTCGGGTCTCGTGAGTTTGTCGGGCCCTCCTCCTCCTCCCACTCCTCCTCCTCCTCCTCCTCCTCCTCCTCCTTCTCCTCCTCCTCCTCCTGTTCCTTCGCCGCATTCTCCTCCTCCCTCGCCCGTCCCCCTCAGCCTCTCGTCCTCCTCTTGCTCCTCCTCCGCCTCCTCCTCCTCCTCCTTCTCCTTCTCTCGTCCTCGTCCTCATTCTCCTCCTCCTCCTCCTCCTCCTCTTCCTCCTCCTCCTCCTCCTCCCCGCCGCCCCCTCCTCTTCCTCGCGGGGGAGGAGGGGGAACAGCAAGAGAAGGAGGAGGACTAGAGATGGAGGTGGAGAGGGAGAGGAAGGGCTTCGATTCGCGCGAGGTCAAACATCGAGCGTGACTCTAAACCTTTTTTAGAGTCACGCTCGATTTCGCTGACAGCCAGCCTTCTGAAGGGGGTGGAGGCTCAGGGGGGGAGGGGGGGAGCGCTTTCATGTGGCCAGAGCGTCCTGTCGCATGATGACGGGGAAATCGCTGCGCGTCAAGCGGTCGATGCAAGCGGTGGCTTCTTGAAGGCTCACGGTTGGGCGACGCGCGATCTCATCTAGGATCGAGTTGCGGGCCCTCTGAAGCAACCCTTGGAGGATGTGGGTGTCCATGGCCCCGACGCCCCCAGCAGAGGAGACGTTGGCCCTCAAGTAGGCGACGGCATCGGCGAAGCATCGGTCTAATGAGGCCATCGCTGCAGCGATCTCTCGGAGGGGCGGGGTCCACGGGGCCAGCGAGCTCGAGCAAAGTCGGCCCGAAGCGGTGGGAGGTGGAGGGCGGTCGCCCAGGCCGCGACTTCGGGGCGAGCCTCCGAACGGCCAGGACATGGGGGAGGATGAGGATGAGGATGGGGAGCGCTCGGGGGAAGTTTACCCATCGGTCGCGCTGTGAATTCATGATGTCCCTATGTCTGCGCGATCGCATGCTGTGGCCGCGTGAGCCGCGCTTCACATCTAAAGCTCACCCTAATCGTCGATCACGATCACAAGCTTGGGCGTCGGGGTCTTCGGGCTTGCTGACTGGGCCCTCGTCTGTGTCATCGAAAGGCTAGATGTCGCAGCCCCCTTGGTGTTGCCTTTCTTCTGGTCCCGAAGTTTCGGGGTCCATGTCCCCAGGGCAGCATACCTCGGCCTCTTCCTCGGCTGCTTCGCAAGCGTGGTTTGTGTCATTGTTAGTTCACCACCGAGCCAAATGTCGTCGTCGATCGGATCTTTCGACTTGCTCTCGGCAAGCGTAGGAGGTGTAGGTCGGTCGAGTTGGCTTCCTTGAGCTTCGCTAGGAGATGGCCCCCCAAATAGACTCATCTTTTTGGGATCCCCTGGAATTGGCATCAGCGCGAAACCCATAAATAATTCCATGGGCAGCACTGGTCGCGGGCGAGCCACGCGACGCACCTTGACAGCCAACAGGCTACGGAGGGGTATCGTAGCGAGCAGCGGTGGGCAATCAGAGTTGAGACCATCCTGGTTTGAATCAAATTCGAGGGGGGTCAACCACTCCCAGAAATGCGAAAGAAGGAACTCGTGACAACGTGTTTCGGGGCCGGGGCCTCCTGTGGTCGTCTTGGGTCTTCTGGTGGGCAAATGCAGTTCGAGGCTTACTGTGCGCGTCAGAAAGTGGGATGGTCTATGGCAATCCTCCCTGCCCTTCTGGTCTCACAATCTCTCGTTCCTCATCCTCCTCCTGACCCCTCTCCCTTACCTCCTGCTCATGTTCCTCCTCATCCCGCTCCTCCTCGTTCCCCCTCTGTCTCCCCCCTATCCCACTCCACGCGCCGCCACTCTCTCGAATTTTCATTTTGCGAAAGCTGCTACGATTACAGAATCTCTGAGTACAGATGCAAATGGTACCGAACTGCCATGACTGACCACGTTCAAATCGGCGCATGGCCCTGTATCACATAGGGCGTTAACTCGGTTGAATACAAAACACTGCTGGTTGCGTCGGGACGGCGGCGGCCCCATCGAGTGAGCCCTAGCGGACTAGAATGGCAACTGCTACCGAGGCCAGCCCTACCTTCCAATCGCCTCCTCCTCCTCCTTCGCATCCACCGTCATCTGGATCATGCCAGCCACCTGGTTGCTGAGGTCAGTGGTGGTCTCCAGCATGTCTGCAACGTCGTTGCTGAACGAAATCGCCTCGCCCTTCGTCGACTCGTCGTTGTTCTTCAGCTTGTTGCCCGCGGTGATCTTCTCCTCCAGCTTCGTGATCCAGCCATCCAGCTTCCTCAAGATGACTGGAGGCACGGCCCCGTCCATGTCACTGGCGGTCGCCTGGCACTTGTGCGTCTTGAAGGTGTTCAGGTTGCCAGTGAGTTTCTCGATTTCTGAGGTCAGCTTCTTCTTCTGCGGCGCAGTGAG